ACACACACACACACACACACACACACACACACACACACACACACACACCTCTGCTTCCTTCACTAGAAAGAAGGGTACAAAAAACAATTGGTGAAGAAAATATGAAGGAGAAGGAAATGAAGGAAGGAAGACATGACAGTAGCTGGGATTAGAGCTCTATCTTCAACAGACTGAGGAGGAAGGGTTGTGTGTGAACATTCCTTGCAAAAAGATTTAATTAGTACCAGCAGCAAACTTTTTTCACTTATCACAGTAGATAAACTAATTGGTTTGATCCAACAAATCAGACTCTTCACTGTAGAAACAAAAGCCTTGCAAAAAGACAACATTAAAAAAAGCTCTAAAAATAAATATTTCCTGGAAGGGGCTTATGTCTTATAGCAAAATACTGATCAAAATATGTCTTTGATCTATTCCTTATTGAACAGAGTGGGAAACTACTCCAATGTTTGGTACTTCATCCTAGTAACAAATATTTATCTAGACTTCGTTATGTACAGCTAACAAAATTCAAAAATTCAGATAATTCAACATGATTACTTCTAAAAGCTATTTTTAATAACAGTGTAGGCCATTTTGAAACACAATGCATGAGGAACTAATGCATGAAAGTTAATCAATAAAACCAATGTTTGGAAGGCCTGCTCACCTAAAACTCTCTCTCTCGTCAGCACCTTCATGCAAACTTCATTAAGTCATGGCATAACTTCTTTTAACTTTGGCTTAATGTGTTGTATAAATCATGTCAAAAGTAAGTTGTTCTAAAACCATGGTTAAGTCATGGCCCAATGTGATGTATGAATCTTAACACATCTATTGAGAACCATAATTCATGTTGCTTTCATTCTTGTGTAAGCATAAGAATTGGTGGTTTAGAATCCTTCTACCAGCTGGACACATGCCAAGAATGGTATTAATTTTACTTTGCACACATTTACATTTTAATTGTTTTATTAAGCAAGCCAGGACTTAGAAACATAAAAGAAACTTCTGGGTAGGCTTCTATTTCATATAATCTGGAATATTATCAAGATAAATTCTCAAAATCCATTTGGTTCTCCTCCCACCAGATTAAAAGCCTGAACCATGCAATATTTACACAGATGGCCAAGCTGCATAACATTGGCATCTCCAAGCACATCCATTCTATTCATAAACACTAGAAAGTTTGAGAAACTAATGCATTTCATGAATTTGTTATACATCAGATTTCCAAGAATATGAACAGGACAATATGAGCCATATGAATGTATGTTGTTTATTTACAAATAAAATGGCAAACAAGGCTCAGCAGACCTTGATTGAAAAATATTGATTTAATTTTTAAGTGGCTAACCTTCAATGGAAAGATTAGTCTCATATATATTTAAATATCTATATGGTCCAAAAATGAAAAGGAAATTTTTGTATGGATCCTTTTTAACATGACTTTAGTATCATTATACACTATTTCTTATTACTGCTTTCTACCTATTTCTGAGATTCTTATTTTTAAAATAAATCTCAACATTTATTTAATAATCAAAAATAATTTCTGGCCATCTACCGTTTATATAAATTTCTTTTTAAGTTTGAAAATGTTGTTAGTGAATTATTTTAAAACAAATATACTTCCATACATTCCATACCACTTCATACAATTTTGTATAAATTATTTAGAGTAAAAATGTTAATATTGAAATAGCATATAAATCTTATATTTATTTAGCAAAGTTACATTCCATCATAATTTAAAGACTTTTTGTGACTTACAGAGAATACAGGATAAGAAAACATAAACATTATACAGCCCCCAACATAAAGACAGACTAGCAAGTAAAAATAGAAAATAAAAGATAGAGAAATGCTTATTAATAGAGGTAGTAGTTTTTAGTCTTTTCCTAAAAAGCAGCAGGGGGAGGGAGAATTGAATCTTCAGAGAAAGGTCTTTCCAGAGTATCAATACTGCCACAGAAAGCACCAACACCTTCTAACTTTGGGACACATCTCAGATGTGTGGGTTACAAATAATTTCTTCCTTCAAGATCTAGTGGATAGGATCACTGAAGCAGGAGATCCTCTAAATCAGGGCTGTCAAACTCCCGGTCCATGGATGGATGGATCACGTGTTGGTCATGCCCACACCCTGTTTCCCAAAGGAAAAAAAAGTCCTGATACGTCATGTGGCACCGCTGCGATGACGTGAATTTGACACCCCTGCTCTAAGTCGCTATGTACCAAACCATGAAGGTACACTACCTTAAATATATCTGAAAACCAATTGGCAGCCAGAATATAATCCGTGTTATAGGCTCCCAATGTTTAGAACTAGCTACACAGTCAGCTGCTACATTCTGGAACAGTTGCAGTTTGAGTTCTATGGCAAGGGCCACTCTAGCTAGTTACATCTGCTGCTCAGGGAGAAGATGGAGTCCAAAAGGATCCCCTAAAATTACATGCTTCTTCACAGGTAGGGATAATACTGGTATTGATAAGAGAATCCTGATGAACCTACAGCAACTTCATTTTATTTGGGTTCAATTTCAGCCTGTTTTCTCCAATTCAAATTCTGTGGCCTCTAGGAATCAGGAAAAAACATTGTCAGCATCTTCCTTACAGCTCATAGTATTTTGAAAGTGGATATCAACAGCATGGGGATATCATACCTCAAAACATCAGATGACCTACCCCAGTAGCTTTGTATACAATTAATATGGATCTAGATACTAAAAACTTACATGTTCGCTCCATGAGAAAAAGTACTTTATCCATTATATACCTGAACATCAAAAATTGTCATATGATTTTCATTAAAATCATAATAAATACATACATTAAAATCATAATAAATCTTAGAATACATTCTCTGAAACACATATTCCCACACAAATGTCCTCTTTTTCCTTCTTTACATGATGTTGGAGTTCCCCTATAGGCCTATACTTTTATTCTATGGCTATTTAATGAAATATAAAAATATTTAATACTTGAAACGTAAGAACATATTATCAAGTAAATTATTTCATCACACTTTTCAGAGCAGGAAAATGCAGTATGGAAACAAAATGACTTTGGGATTTTGTTTTTTGACAAAGTGATAAGTTTATTTTCAAGCAGACCACTGTCTGCAGTTAAGGATAACCAAGCAGAAGAAAATCGGATCCACGAGATACCAACCAAAGCCCCTCAGAACATATTGTCATTCATATTTGCATTCACACAACACAATAGAGTCAACACAACCATGCTTTCCCCCCCAACTTAACACTTTTTGGGGCCAGTCACTCTCCCTCCTCAGCCCAACCCACCTCACAGAGTTGTGATGGTGAAAACAGGAGGCATGATGAATTTTAGCTGTGTATGCATGTGTGATAGTCATAATAATAATCTAGACTAAGAATATAATCTAAAAAGACTAATAATAATAGCACTCTCATCCATCAACCATTATTAACAGGGGTTGAGCCTAGACAACACACCAAGTGGAAATTTCTAGCCGGATAATTTGCCTTATTATTAAGATGTACACAAAGCCCAGCCAGCTTAGGTGGTTTATACGGTGATGTAACCGAGTCCAATTCAGGCAATCTCGGGTTTAGCGCGTTACATGAACCGGGCCCCTCACTCTCTTCCTCACCGATACGGGGTCGGACCTCTAGGTCGGGTCCCTCTTCTTCGGACATGGTCGGTTAAAAAGAGGGAGACCGGGGGTGGTGTTTGACCGCTCCTGGCTTGAGAGTACGGCATGAATAAAGGGTGCGAAGGTTGTTCCCTTTGCAAGACCGTGGAAGTTAAAAGTCCGGGTCACGAATACAAATTCCCCCCTTCACGTCCTTCCAGCCCCACTGATTTAAGACTCCCCTCCGTCACTCCTCCTTTTCCTGACGGGCCTCCCTCTCCCTCAGAAGCTCCTCCAGCCCCGGGGCTGCTGCTAGTGGTCGGACGGGCCAAGCCGGGCGAAGAAGGGGTGCCCGCCTCGCTCCCTCTCACCTTTAAGAGATTAGACGCCGCCATGTTCTTCCCCCCCCCAACCCACGCGCGCTCCGGAGCACGGCGGGGCCTTCCCGAGCCAGCTGCTCCGGCGCCCTCCCCGCTCTTCGGGGACGGCCTTCGAGCTGAAGCCGGTCTCCGGTTTACATGGTCTCGGACGGGCCGCGGGGGGAGAGAGGGAGCGAGCGAGCGACCGAACGCGGCAGCCAGGCGAGGTTCGACTTTCGGCTTGACTGCTTGCTCGGCGCCGGAGCGGCCTCCCGGGGTTTCCTGCGGGCCGTGGGTCTCAGCGCCTCATGGCGACGGCGGCCCCGCGGGATTCCGGGGACTGGCGGCTGGAATAGCGGCGGCGGTGGAGGCAGCGGCGTTCCGGCTCCTCGCGAGGGGCCGGCCAAGCCCGCATGATGCGCTGCTGAGGAGAGGAAAGTCCAAATCCGGAGTAGAGAGAGAGAGAGAGAGCACTGCGCCTCGGGCCCATTGCGCCATCTACCGAGCGGAGGCCGTACTTCCCTTTCCTTGGGAGGAGCCCGGGAAGAAATGTTGGCACCGCTTTCCCTTTCCGGTTGTTTGGGTTGTTTGGTGGGTTGGGTTGTTTGTTTGGTGAGTTTGGTTGGTTGGGTTGGGCTGGCTTGGGTTGGATGGTTGGGGTTGCTTGGGTTGGGGTTGGGTTGAGTTGAGTTGTATGGTTGGGTTGGATGGTTGTTGGGTTGGGTTGGTTGGGCCGGGTTAGTTAGCTACTTTTTTTGCACAAATATCTGAAACCAGGTTTATATATTTGATTATGTTTTTACTCATTATGGAAATGTATTTTATTTGCACCACTGTTAAATAGAAAATCTATTTTTTACCTAAGCGAAATGGAGTATAATTATGAATAACAAGACAATTAAGAAAAACGTTTTGTTTTAAATAGTATTTCTTTCATAGATCTTTAAAGATTCAGAGAGATTGTTTATTACATTTTATTGTTAATAAGAGTTGCAGAAGAAATATCAAAAATATTTACTAATGTGACAAGTTTTTGGTTTCTTTGCTATATGTAATTTCAACAATAGCAAAGCATTGCAGCTGAAAAAAAAAAATCCATTGGTGCAGAACGGCATTGCATTATAAGCATTGCAAAGAACAAAAAGATGCTTTTTGCTGATTTATGCTTGAACCATCTGACCAACTAACAAAAGCAATCCAAGGTTTGGGACAAGATTTCTCTTGCTTAACTTCCTGTAATCTTGAAAACTAAGTAGGACTGAGCCTGGTTAATATTTGGAAGAAGACCACTGAGAAATCCCAGGGCTATGATTTGCAGATTGCAGAAGCCAGTCCTTTATTTGAACCTAGCGTAGGTCATGGTCAAACTCTCCCAAAAGCATAGCAGGCTGCTGCTGTCAGTTTGCCAGAGAAATAACATGGATGTTCTAGTGACATGACCAGGAATTGAACTTCATTCAATTTCCTAGACATGTTTGAGACTGAACTTGATGCGTTCTCCATCTATATGTGGCTCTGTGTGTGCATGTGTGTGAGACAGGTAGAGGAAGGGGGATTTTTTTTCACTTCTATAATCATCATCTTTTATCGGCCCCATAATCCCTTGCAAAATAGTCTAGGCAACTGAATGGAGCTAGCAGAGTGTTTAGTGGCCGAATGCCCTTCCTGCCACCAATGCAGAGTTTTTTCGGCAGATATATTCTCATTGTGCCCAGAGAAATATCAGCCTTTACCTTGGATTGAACTCACAGCCTCCTGATTGTGAGGTGAGAACTCCACCTTTATGCCACTCCTTTTCACTTCACTATATGGAAGATTTTAATGGACAGAAGAATTTGATAGGTGTAACCAAGTATTTAAATGAAAGGAACAGGTGTCACATTTTAGCATACTGCATTTCAGAAATAAGGGTAAGTAAACCAAAGCAGGAATTCAGTGGAATCCCATGTTTCATAGTTCATTTCAGTTTTACATAAACTTTAAGAGGCAGTCATTTATAAGCAAGAGTATTGTAGAAAATAGCTCACTGCTCATCAGGTTTTGACTTATTTAAGATGATTGCTTGCTTGTTGGGTCCCAAAAGTACTTTTTTCCCAAAAGGCAACTGGATGTTTCTTGTTTTTCTTTGAAGATGTTTCACTTCCCATCCAAGAAGCTTCTTCAGCTCTGAAAGTCCAGTTGCCTCTTTAAATACTTTTGTTGGGTATTTGGCTAATAATATCCTTCCATAACAACCTCTTATGTTGGTGTATGTGAAGCAGAACCACTGTCAAATAAAGGACTGGCTTCTCCAATCTTTGTGTGCAGCAGCTGATAAAATGTCTAATTTTGTAGAATACAGTTAATGTACAGAAGTTTTGGCATTTGAGCTTACAGGCTTTGGAACTCTAGGAGAGGGTTCTAACTTGTCCATCCTGGCTAGATGTTTGGAAGCTGTAGTTCCAATACATAATAATTTGTTGTAGCAGCCTGCATTATAATCAGCATTCTGGGGGAAGAAAGAATTTAGAACAGCATGGAACTTCTTTAGGCCTATATGTTTCATGTTACCTCCAAAGAATAAAAAATGTGGGCTCAGGTAGCCCTTTAATAATGTGGAGTGCAGCAGGGGGCAACCTTGGTTGAGTGGGTTTCTCCCTTATCCCATCACCAATCAATTATTTATTTTCATTTATTACTATCACAGTGCCTGGGGTCAAGCTACCTCTTTATGGTTAAGAACATGGATCCCGTTAGATCTCAAGGGGAAAGGGTAGGGACTACTACGGAAAATGCATGCTTCCTGGCTCTCACTAGATGTCAACATTTAAAGCAAGGGATCATAACATTAAGTTCCCTCAGAACCTTGGTTGGCACCCCAAAGCTTTTATTTCAGATTGTCTAGAGCAGGGGTATCCAACCTGGGCAAATGGAAGACTTGGGGACTTCAAGTTCCCAGAATTCGCCAGCCAGCCACATTGAAGTCTACAAGTCTTAAAGTTGCCCAGGTTGGACACCAATCCTGGGCTGTGGCTCAGTACCGACCTATGAGCTGTTCGCAATTGGGCCACTGAAGTTGTGGACAAGTGCACACACGTCCATCCCCACTTGTGCAAGCAGTGGCCGAGGGTGTGCTTGTGCGCTCCATTTGCGCAAGCGGCAGGGGAGCTTGCCTTCTGCTACTTGTACAAATGGAGCTGCATGCACACTTGCCTGCCATTCGCGTGGAACCATCCCCTCTCCTCCCCCGCCCCTGAATCCACATAGCCAGTAAAGGTTGGAGAACTCCGCTCTAGAGGATATCTAATGAAATTTTCACATCCTCGGTTCTATGCTCCTCTGTGGAGCATAGAACCTCATGACTACCAGTTTTACATTGTCCTTCCTGCTCCTGCTTCAGTTCTGCTGCAATTATTTATCTCATTTATTTATTAAACATATATGCCACGTGTCTCACTGTAGCAGTGACTCTGAGCGGTTTACAGCATAATAAAAAGACAAGACAAAAGAATTACAAATTAAATAACATTAAATAAAGACAAAAAAAAAATTCAAGAGGACAGGTGACATGGAGGTGGGGGTCTTTTTTTGATACCCCTCAGGCACCCCCAGCATTGAACGTCCCTATCAGGGCACTAGGTAGATCAGCAGAGTCAGGTTATAAGGTTCTTCTGAAAGGCCAAAATGTGGGGGGTGACCAATGGGACAATATTCCAAAGGGTGGGTGGCCACAGCCAAAAAGACCCTGCCAGCTTTTTTCTTCCCAAGGGAACTGGACTGTTTTTTTCCTTGAAGAAGATGAAGACAAGGTTTCACTTCTCATCCAAGAAGCTACATCAGTTCTGATGGCGGGAAACGTTTTGCTTCTCCACTGAGAACCAAAACATGTTCTTCTTCCTCCTCAAGGAAAAAAAGAAAAGAAAACCCAGTCCAGTTGCCTTTTGAAGAAAAAAGCACCTTTGAGACAACCATGATTTGGATGACTGAGGATCTCTACAGATCTGAAGGAGGTTTCTTCAGTTGGAACGAATTGGCTGAACCAATCCCACTGAGATGAAATGGGCCTAAGTTAGTTATGCTATGGGCATCCCACCAGTATTTCCCAGAGTAATCTTCAGAGGGATCTTTAACTTGGGAGTGAGATTTTACTTTTTTCCAACTCAGTAACACCAACTCAGTAACACCATCGAAATGGTTAAGAGTTTTTTCATCCCTTGGTGTGAGATACTTCTCAAAATTGGAGAATGAGTGTAACAGCACAATTGAATATCGGTAGAAATTCTCAGTTATCCAGGTCATGGTTGTCCCAAAAGTGCTTTTTCAGGATATCTCAAAGGTACTTTTTTCAGGAGGCAACTGGATTTTCTTCTTTTTCCTTTTGAAGATGTTTTGCTTCTCATCCAAGAAGCTTCTTCAGCTCTGACAGGATAACGGGAAATGGAAGGATTTATATTCCTTGCAGATAGCTGGGCATTTGTATTCTTTTAGAGGGTTGTTGAAGCACTTGGAGGTTTATCTGTGTCCTCAGGGTCACCTGAGTAGTACTATCCACACTATCCTGTTAGAGCTGAAGAAGCTTCTTGGATGAGAAGTGAAATATCTTCAAAAGAAAAAACAAGAAAGTCCAGTTGCCTCCTGAAAAAGCAACTTTGGGACAGCACAAGTGAATGTGAATGGATTAGTGTATCTCGCCCCGCCACCAATCTCACCAGGTTGTTCAGTGCTTTCCATCCCAAAAAGGTTGTCTCCTCCTGGCCTGGAACTTCTTTTGTGGAAAGTTAAACACAGATAAATAAATGGGTAGCCCTGAGGTCCACAGTGAAAACAATATGGGGAATTCGTATGATTAATACATCCTATTTCATGCACACGGTGGATGTGAAGGACACGTGAATGACCATGCTTCACTTATCTTGACAATATTCACAGTTACAACATATGTATTAAAAAAAACTTGTTAGCAACAAATGATAAATAAACCTGAGTCGGCTTTGTAGAAAACAGTTATATACGTTTTTCAAAAAGTTGCAAAAGATGAAAACCAAATAATTTTTCCCTGTTAAAAAAAACTGCACTTTTGCTTCCACTGACTTGCTGACTCCCACAATTAACTATTAGAAGCTTGCTTTGCTTTTTAAGCAAATGCTGTTGATTCTTATGATCCTTATAGAATCCTGCAAGCCACACGTAAGTATTTTAGGAGCTATAAGCATCTCAGAAGCCAAAGATCACTTACTTCTTATCTAATGCATCTTTTAAAAGGATCTTTTACGAACAGTTGCCTTATTCTCCAACCCTCTGTTAAGTTGCGTGGCATGCAAAAGATTTTAGCAAGGGCATTGTTCTCCCAGTGAGGTAGCTTCCTCTGAGGAATGTACAACATTTGGAACAAAACCACTCTTCACCCCTTCCCATCCATCCTGTATTGAAATCTCTCCTTTTTTCACAAGTTCGTATATGTCCTTAGTGAGAATAGTGAATGATTCTTCAACATTCGTGGCTTCCTTGGCAGATGTTTCTATGTATTTCATGCCACAGGCAGATGCTAATTCTTCAGCTTCCTCTCTCGTAACCTGGCGCTCCGATTCCAAGTCGCATTTGTGTCCCACCAAGATGAAGATAATCTGGAAAGGTTGAACATGCATTTTTGCTTCATCCAACCAATCATATACATGTTCAAAAGAAGACCTGTTTGTGATATCGAACACCAGCAAGCCGCCTACTGAATTCCGATAATAGGAACGGGTGATTGACCTGTAAAATTAAAAGGAAGAGACAAGCTCAGCAGGAATGTTACACTTTTTAATGTGTACATTTCAAAAACAATGGGGATGATGACGACATTGAGTATCTGCAAGATCGTGTTGCTTTTTTCAAAACAATAAAAGCATACTCTGTTCTTCCCTACATGTGCCAGGTTTGGCCTTGAATTGTATCAGTGCTGAAATGGTGTGCAACAACGCCACGCTCACACCTTCTATGGATGCAAGTAGAGCTGGATAGAATTAAAGTGAAAACAGGCAATTCTGTTGTCTTGTCCAACTTGCTGATTTGTGCAAAAGTAATTCAGGGTATCAATACCAGCTATTCTGAGGGACTGTGTCTCCAGATCATATGTGATGCTGGAATACATAAACCAGCCTCCAAGAAAAAAATAGCCTGTTGGATAGATACTTTTTCTCAACTTCTTCATGCAAATATCAAACAAAAATGTATTAAATCTAAAAATATCCCTTGCATCTCAGACTCCTTGCTTTCTACTTCTACCCCAGTTTTTTTAAGTATTAAGTATTAAAAAAAAAATAACAACTCTTAACAAGCTGCAAAGTAAAGCACTAGCCTAAACCAAAATGTTCATTTCCAATGATACTTCTAACTTCAGGATATACACTGGAGGCATTATTAGAAAATACTAGTGATGATTTGAAGTTACAATGGCACTGAAAAAAGTGGCTTATGATCACTGTATGCCATATGTCAAGGAAGGAAAAGGAAAATGGACTTGTGGACCTGTGAACGACTGGTCACAATTGCTTAATGATGAGCAAAATATTCTTTACATGTATTCAAATACATTTTTTTTCTCACTGGTGCTTCACACATCCCAGATGATGGATAACCTATGATTTGTTCATAGGTCTAGCCTCATAAAAGTTCTTTTTTGTTTTTTTAAAAAAGAAGTCAGAGCCTTTCCAGCTTTGTTTCCATCTGTTACTCTTCTACTGCTGTATTTTTAATACTGCACTGTTGTTCGGATTTGGTGCCTAGTACTATTTTTTTAAAAAAATATTTTCAAATGCTTTTAGCCTCTCTTAGCCACCCGAAGAGCAACAAAGATATAATTTCCCAAACAAACAGAATCACCTGGAAAGAAACTGGCCTTTCCCAGGAATGGAGAAACTAACCCATAATTCAGCTTATCATCTGTTTCTCAAGAATTAGAAGTGTGCATATTAATTAGAGGTGTGCATATTATTAACATGTAAGAACTGCATTTGCAGGTACTTTACCTGGAGGGTTAATTGGTTTAATAACCTGGCTTTTCCCCTCCTTTTGGTTAAGGGGCAATTTGTCCCTCATTGTGTTTACACAAGACTGTACACCAAGTCACAAGCCAGCTACTACCTTTTAGCCTCATTCCATGTGGTTAGTCTATGATACAGGCAGTCCTCAATTTACAATAGTTCGTTTAGTGATGGTTTAGTTACAACGGCACTGAAAAAAAGTGATTTATGACAGTTTTTCACACTTATGACCTTTGCAGCATCCCCATGGTTAATCAATCAAAATTCAGATGCTGGCAACTGACTCATGTTTATGACGGTTGCAGTGTCCCAGGATCATGCGATCACTTTTTGCAAACTTCTGACAAGCAAAGTCAACGGGGCAGTCAGAATCACTTAACAATTGTGGCAAGAAAGACACAAAAGGGGGCGAGTTCACTCAACTAGCTCGTTTAACAACAGAAAATTTGAGCTCAGTTGTGGTTGCAAGTCAAGGACTTAGCCTGTACGTGTGTAAAATTAATAAATAGGTTAGCAATTAGGATTAATTTCACAAACCGCAGTTCAGTTAACTGGGACTTAGTCTATTGTGTGAAGTAAATATGAGACAGGTAGGCAGGCATATCTTGTGGATTTCCTGCTTCTAGAGAATCCAGCTTCAAGCTGCCAGCTGGATCATAGCTGTAAGCAGTGATGGTGTCATCATGACACAATGAGTACAAATTACATAACTGATGTCATGTGTGACATCATTCCTCCATTGCAGATGTTCAGTTCCACTTGTGTTTTGCAGCCAGCTAGTGTCCAGAGTTATACAACTACAGCTAATACAACTTATAGTTATATAAGCCTTATCCTTGGCGAATCCATCCGATTTCAAAGCTGTGTCAGCAAATGCCTACTAACATTTCTTATGGCACGGAATTTCTCAGGGATCATGAATCGCTTGAAAGTTTCCCATTGTCCAATCTTGAGTTTCTTTGGTTCTGAATTATCAGAAATGGACCAGAGCAAACAACCAAGGCTTGCTTGTTTAAGGAGAACTCTTGGGGGCAGCTGAGGCTTTTGGGTGTGTATGTGTGTGTGTGTGTGTGTGGCAAAAATCATCTCTGTTCTTGGCTTGCCCACAAAGCACACCTTCATTTCAGAAGCCAAGGAGAAGCCACCCTAGTCTGCCAAGCAGAGAAAGAAGTGTTTTGCTTCCTTTAAAAATATTTCTTGCTGCAAAGCACTTGCACCCCCACCCACCCACCCTTAGTTGTACACGCTCTTTATACCCAACCCAAGCACAGAGTTCGGGTTATCGCACGAAAGCCACAAATTATATCTCACTGACGGGAATTAATTTCTCCGATTCTTAGAGGCTCAGATTCGAAATCGCAAATTCGAAGAGTGAGTATAAAGTTAGCCGCAAGCACACTCGTGAATTAACGCGCGAGCGTACACACACACACACACACAGAGAGAGAGAGAGAGAGAGAGAGAGACGCAAGTGGCAAAAGTGGGCGTGGCCAGGGAGTGGCACTCTGCACATCCTCAGACGCCCAGGCGGAGGATGCGGAATCCGTTTTACTATTTCTCCTCCGGACTCAGCTGTGTGTGTGGGGGGGGGGGGGGGGGATTAAAGGAGAGAGAGATTTTGGAAGGCGAATGCCAGCAAAAGCGGGGCGGGGAGCCGGAGCACCGACCGGGCCAGCGTCGGCTGTACCTGAACCTCTCCTGGCCCGCCGTGTCCCAGAGCTGCAGTTTGATCCTCTTGCCCGGCTCGATCTCCACAAGGCGGGAGAAGAAATCCACCCCGACGGTGGGATCGCAGTGCATCGGGCCCGGGAAACGGCCTTCGGTGAAGCGATGCAAGAGGCAGGACTTGCCCACCGTGGAATCGCCCAGCACGATCAGGCGAAACTGGTAGATCCAGATGGCCGCGTCCATGGCGGTCTCCCCGCTGCCGTCCGGCTGCTGGCCGCTCCCCTTGGCCTGATTGGGGCGCCTTCTCGGGCGGTGCCTGCACCGAGCTCCGACGGCCCCTATCCCGGGCATTGGCGCAGCAGGAAGGAAGGGAGGAAGAAAGGAAGGGAGGCGCCTTTGATCTGGCGCGAGGACTCGACCCGAAAAGCCGGAGATTCCTCCCCCCCCCCACCTCTCCCCGGAGCGGAGGCGGCTGGGGCTTCCCCGCACCACGGGCCCGAGTGTCAGCCAAAAGCCGTGGGGTGATCGATAAGGAGACCCTCACTCTCTCCCTTTGGTCCGCCGTGCCGCCTGCCTTGCCACGCTGCCTCTGGCTCGGCGCTTCTTTGTTCCCGTACGCTGCGAGTTGCGAGGTGGAAGACTGGGAGCAGCGGTGGGAGGGGGCTGGGTTCGCCTTCCAATTTTCTGTCCCTGGTGGGTTGCAGGAGGAGGGAGAGGGGGAGGGGGAGGGCGGGGCTTGTTCACAGCCTTTATTCTTGAGATGAGAGGAGGGAGAGAGAGAGAGAGAGAGAGAGAGAAGAAAGAAAGAAAGAAAGAAAAGAAAGAAAGAAAGAAAGAAAGAAAGAAAGAAAGAAAGAAAGAAAGAAAGAAAGAAAGAAAGAAAGAAAGAAGAGGGGTGAGGGAGGGAAAGAGAAGCTGTTCATTCTTGACTGATGGGTGGGTCTATATGGATACAGATAATCAGAGTTGGAAGGGACCTTGTAGGTCATTTAGTCCAACCCCCTGCCCAAGCAGGAGACCCTACACCATTCCTGACAGATGGGAGTCCAATCTCTTCTTGAAAGTCTCGAGTGATGGCGCTCCCACTCTCAGGTCAGACTTTGTGGGATGGGAGTTAGCAGGGCTTAGTGTCCAACTCCTCCTCCTCCTCCTCCTCTTCATCATCTTCATTTTCTCTTCCTCCTCCTCCTCCTCTTCATCATCTTTATCTTCTCTTCCTCCTCCTCCTCTTCTTCTTCCTCTTCTTCTCTTCCTCCTCTTCCACCTCCTCCTCCTCCTTCGGTGCTCCCTGTTTTGATCTGTGCTTATGTTTTCCATTAGCCAGAAGAAGGCACACTTTGCATATGCTCAGGCATTATTTCAGCTATCTGTCCAGAAATCCTGGGAATAGATAACAGATAATCAGAGCTGCAAGGGACCTTGTAGGTCATTTAGTCCAACCCCCTGCCCAAGCGGGAGACCTTACACCAGTGATCCCCAACCTTTTTTATGCCGCGGCCCGGTATCCCCAACCTTTTTTATGGCGCGGCCCGGTACTGACATCAGCTGGGCGCCGCCATCTTGTTTTGATGAAAAAGTGCTTCCGGTGAGCTTTCTACCCGGAAAAGCTCACCGGAAGCACTTTTTCATCAAAACAAGATGGCGGCGCCCAGCAAGCCAGCGGCCCGGTAGGACTTGTTCCATGGACTGGTACCGGTCCGCGGACCGGTGGTTGGGGACCCCTGCCCTACACCATTCCTGACAGATGGGAGTCCAATCTCTTCTTTAAAGTCTCAAGCTCCCACTCTCAGGATAGGCTCAGGAAAGATTTCTCAGTCCATCACCCAGCAAAATATCAGGAACTGACCGAGTTGGTCCAGGACCATTTCTGACTGCCTGGTGGAAAACAAGAGTTCTGACTTGGAGATTCTGACATGTGCCCGAGTAGCTGCCTCGTTACAGACAAATTCTCCACTATAGTGTTGGCAAGTTTAAGAATCTTGGGAGTTGAAATCTACCCATCTTAAACTTCCCAAGGTTGGGAAATACTGGTCTAGTAGAAGTGGAGAACAAGGAAGAAGGGGTGAAAAAGGAAACCAGAATGAAGAATTAGGATGCTGGGGTTGCATCCTAATCTCCTTATTTGCATGCATGTAGGTATCTGCTAAAAAAAGGTTTGAACTGCACAAATAAAAGAAAAATACAAGAATATTCTGTGAGAAATTTTAACACAACCAACCCCCCAATGACTCTTCAAGACCTTAGAGCAGAGGTCTCCAAACTTGGCAGCTTAACAAGTCTTAAAGTTGCCAAGTTTGGGGACCCCTGCCTTAGGGGTTTTCTTAGAACCATGTCCACCTATAGAGAACCTGGAAGAACCTTGAATGTTAGTCTCCATCTTGTAAAGTTGGGAATGATGGCCACTGTAATCCAACACATCTGGGCAGTATCACATATGGGAAGGTGTCTTGGAGGACTGGAGATCAAATTCCATGTCAGTTTTAACATTTCACTACACTAAAAGAAAACCCAGCCTCTATTAAACACATTGCATTTCAGCATTATAAATCCACATGGCCTACATTCCAATAATTAATAGTCTATTTTCCCTGTCCTGATTCATCTTCCTTGCCCATTGTATCACAGGTTGAACAGTTCTTTTTTTGTCACTGTGTAATGGATGCTGTGTATGGGCTGGTCCTTACGATTTTTTGCCAGCATACTCTGGCACCCATGCTGCTGTTTTTAAGTAGGGAGGAAAGCCCGCTATGGAAAATGGAGCAAAGGTTAAAGGCAAGGGAGCTATCCATTCAGCACCTCACTTAAAAATTGGATGCATCATCAGCAACAAAACAACAGTCCATTTTCTAAGAACAAGTTGGTTGCATGCTTAATACAAGTGTCTGTGTGTCTCTGTGTTGGGGTGAGGGTGCAAAGAGAAAGAAACTGCAACCTTCTGAGAAAACTGGAAGTAAAATCCAAATTGGCTTCACGTTTTGCAGGCTGGTATCCCCATCTGCACTTTTGAATTAGCATGCAGTAAAAGAAGGAACATTTCTACATCAAAAGAGGAACAATCATTAGTTAACCACTAAAAAGAAAACTAATCATCAACAGTCACTTGGCTGTACATTTATTCTTGCCTTGGGCTGTGGGTCTGAAGCCGCTTTAGTATTTTCAATATATTTTTTTAAAGGTTATTGAATGTTTTGATTTAAATCAACTCTACTTGGGATTCTGTGTGTGTGAAAAGAGCGTAATACATGTTTGAAAATAAATAATACAGAAGAAAGAGGGATAAAAGCTCTGTAAGGGAGATGGATGGTTAAGAAGTTTGATATATAGATATCAAACCTACACACACACACACACACACACATATACACACATACATATACTCTCTTTGTGTATATGTGTATGTATATGCATGTGTGTGTGTATCAAACTTCTTAACCATTCATCTCCCTTATAAAGGATCTTTTAAACAATGAAACATATCCTTTATTCTGTGTTCAATTTTTAATCAATAATATATTTATTTATTCAATTATGTGTATGTGTGTGTGTTTGTTTCCCTTCCCTGTAGGGATGGGGATCATCTCCTTTTCTTAGCTGACGGAGACAGTGTTGTCCAAAGACACTTCCATAGTCATGTGGCCAGCATGACTATATACCAAGGCCAATGGGATGCTGCTATCTTTCCCACCAAAGTGGTACCTATTTATTTAATTGCATTTGCATGCTTTCAAATTTCTAGGGAGGCAGGAACTGAGGCATGGATGGGAGCTCATTCATCGCACAGCACTTTAACCACTGAGCCATCAAATCCACCTGGGCGGAGGGCAAGCTGGAAACAGGTTTTCTTGATAGCTTCTACTTGATTTTGGAAGTGAAATACAAACCAGATTGAATGTGAGCCTTTCTGGCACGGAAATCTTTTGAATCTTGCTTCTTGCTGTGTGCATTTTATTTGTTGTTTTATTAGGTCTATGTTCCACCTTCCTCCAGAAGTTATAGATGGCATATACAGTATTCTGCCTTCTACATTTTCTTCACAACAGTGAGAACCAAATATGGTTACATTTATTGAGCCAAAAACCTCTTGTACATATTCCAGACCTTGTATCACATATCTGATTTTTGACATCAAACATTAAGACCTGATGGAGTGTTGCAAGAGTCTATATTATGCATATTGGATGGAACAGCATGTGTTATATTAGAACAAAAAGAAACTAATGTTCCCAATTGGAAAACTGGGCTTGGTGCACCGAAGACATTTGCCAGTAAAATGTTACTTAGGAGGAATCACACAAGAGTATTACTTTTCTCTTTACTCTCATCCTTATCTACTCTAAAAGATATGCAAAAGACCAAAGACCACAGGTCTTTCTTGATCACATGAACTAAACAGGTATATCTGGAAAATATCAGATTGATACACCAAATACAGTATTTGATATATCAAAATGATTTATTTGCTGAGTCATCCAGCTTTTATTCAGTTAATTGTGTGGCATATAACAGCCACATTTCATTGCAGGTAAATAATGAAATAAATAATCTGAATTTTTTTACATTCTCATCAACAAAGCTCACAATGATTTCTAGATCAAAATAGTTGGTCACGTTCTGTATTTTATTTGGTGTTCTGTATAGGAGTATATCAAAACTAAAGAAGTATTAAATAACCAAGTGTTCACATCTGAACTTGTGTATTCTTCTTGTTAAAATGAACCTTGCTGATGAATCAGCTAAAAGTTCAAATTTTTGTAAAAAGGCTCTGAAGTGATAGAGGATGATATATGTATTGTTTCTGGCAAGTGGTTGAATCCGTACAGGAATGCCTTTCTTCTTATGGCTAACAGTCTGAGTTAGAAATGTCAACAGATGTTGGTAGATAAAGAAAAGCACTGCCGATGATACTTTTGAAGAAGAAAGAATCTTACAGACAGTTACAAAATATGTTTTTTTTAAAACTGTTTTCCCTACTCTACCCTTCCCCTCCCTTTCTCTTCCCTTTCCCCTCTCTTAGGCTTTCCTCTCTCTCCCTCTTGGCCTATGCTAAGGCCTGTTTGTCTTTTTGTTGTACATAACTTGTAGTTGTGTTGTTCTTTTAAAGGTAAAACTAATAAAGTATTTTTCCAAAATGTTCTAGTAGGTAACATGATCACATTTTGCACAATACAAAGCTGCAAACATTTCTTGACTTCCCTGTACTATTTACTTTTTGGTAAATGTTTCTACCTATCTGGTATATATTTATATTTAAACAAAGTGTGATTGTACTGTACTTTTACTATTTATAAGTACCCTATCAACATTTTTTATAATTAGTGAAAAATGATGGAACCAAAGCTGGGGAATTCTGG